CAATTTTTAAGAGAACGGAGCGTCCGATTTGAATAATTCAAAAAAAACTTTTTACTTGTATTAACAAGATGAAGAACTGATCAAATTTTCATAAAGACAGGTCTAGCGGTTTCGGAGATCCAGTAAAAAACTAAAAAAAATGCCATCTGGCGGTCAAAAATGATCATTAGACATATGCACATCAAATTATCAGATATTTTATAGAAATTTTAGCATTAAATATAAATTTTGTTTACATTCCTATGAGTTCCATACCAATGCTAGTTCGATATTTTGTCTCTATGCAGTTAAAGCAGTACGATTGCTTTGAAATAAAAGTTCAGAATTTTCAAAATATTTTAAAATACACTTTTCTTCAAAAAGTCTTTTTTCAAAAAAAGTAAATTTTTGTCAAAAATTTATAGTTTCCCAAAAATCTAATTTTTCAGTGTAAATTTTTTTCAAAAATTCCAGTTCCAGGAATTTGCCTTAAAGCACGATGCCATGCGCCTCACTAGTTTAATTGTAAGGTATGCCAGAATGTCCAGAGCATATTTTAAAGCGTAAAAATAAGCAAAAATATTCATTTTCGATTTTTTGCGATTACTATGAGTTACCCTACGGGAAGTTAAAAACAAATATACCTAAAAGCGTCAAAGTTACATTTTTTAGAGAAAGGTAATGAAAATAAACTGAAACATTTTTTATTAAAAAAATGTTTTAATGACGTACGAAGTGTTAGTGCATAATCAATCATGGATGCAGATATCCCTTGAAACGTATATAGTTCCGTAACGTTGACAATATTTTTTTTAAAAAACTATTGGGTTTTTCATTAGAATTCGGTTCCTTGTTTGAAGCTCAACACAATAAATTGAGTCAAGTAAAAAGTTTGTTTCGTTTATTTAGTGAAATTGAAGTTTTCTTATAGCGTGAAAATAAATTTATTCAAACTAAATATGCTTCATTATTATCGGCAATATTTCGACATCTTTTCGAATAGAGCCATGAGGTTATCGGTGAACATCTTCTGTGGTATTTGGTTGAAAACCTGAATCAAGCTCTTCTTAAACTCAGTTTAATTCTATTAAGACATTACTGCAGAAATTGGAATAAGTGTTAGTTGGAGGATTCTATGTCTGAAATATACGGTGGATGCATAAAAATTTCTCAACTAAGCTTTCGCAACTTTTGGCAGATCATCAAAAAGTGTATGGTCAACCATTGTCATGATGAATGAAATACCTTCAATTCAGGGCGTTTTCTCACAATTTTCTGTCGTAGCAGTATTATTTACAGCAAGATTGATAATCGTCTGGAAGTAGATTACGATTGACGATTACCTCCCATTCCCACCACAAATACAGTATTCACCTTTTTCAGTGTCATTCCTGATTTGTAAACGTGTGTCGTTGCTCATCATCACTTGAGCATGATTTTTTTTTTGTCTCCGATTGTCGTAATCTATTATTAATCACCAGTTCTAAAATATTTAAGAAACGGACTTCATTGCATTAAGTCTATTAGATTTTTCGAGCCCTATTCATGAAGGTCCCACACATGGAGCTTTCTTTTGTAGTCAGGTTTATGTAATTCGTTTGAAGCAGTGCAAATATTGATATATATATATATATATATATATATATATATATATGATATATATATGAAATGATATATATATATATATATATATATATATATATATAATTTTTGGCATTCGCTATATTTACAAAAAGACATTGATGTATCATAGCAGATAGATATCATAAATTACATCTAAATAAATACATATTTGATGTATTAAATTATTTAAATTACAGTTAGTTAAATATTTTTAATTCATTTGCATCACTGTATTCTATTTGAAAAACAGATTTTAATTATATTCTATAGTCATTTCATTAAAATGTTGCATTAGCGAAATCTCAGTTCTTAATGAATGATTTTTTTGCAAATGTAATCTATCACTTGCTCCAAATAGCGTTCATCGTTTTTAATTAAAAGTCAAAAGCTGTTAAAGTTACATCTCATGCCAGTCAGCGCATAATAAAGTTCTTAACGTATTATAAAAACAAGACACGACATATCCATTAAAATTGCATGATTAAGTTAAAAAAGATGTGATCAAAATTAAAACTGTTAAAATATAATGTTATATTTAAATACTTTTCTGAAAAGATTTTTTTTAGTTATTTTTTCTAGATAAGAAAATAATACAATACAGTACAATAAAAATATTGTGTTGAAAAGATTGAGGTTGATAGAATCAAATAATTTAGCCAAAGGCAATATTTTCTCAAAAGAATGATTAATTAAATTACCAAAATAAAAAAATAAAATAATTTTATATAAAACCCAGTTCTCGAACGAACCATGTCCATTATTAATTTTTTAATAGTTTGTTTATCATTGTATCATTGTAATTATTGTATTTACAATATATTTTTATAAATATTATAAATACAATTTATTTTTCAATTATTACAATGTTAAAGTACAAAAATTATACTGCTTGAAAGTTACGTACTACGGTACTAAAACACAAACTTTTTTTGCTTCAAAACTACTTCGCTTATTAAAAGTTTATTAAATGTACTTTATTATTACCTAAGAACGCTTTGCTGCATATTATAATGTTCAATGTTACAAAAATAAAGAAATAAAAAAATGAATTTTGCATGTAATTTTATAGTTAACTTCATATTGTGATAATGATAATTATGAACGTCGAATAGTGAAGTATCATATAAAAATATAATTATATCATGGCTAAAATTACTAAATAAACCCTTTATTTTAAAAAGTGGCTTAACTCCGTTTTTCAATTTTTTTCGGTTATCATGTATAGGTGTACAACTTTTTGTTATTTATTAGAAAAGCATTTCAGGTTGCTCATAATTCGAGAAAGTGATAAAAGCAAATTTAATTAATAAAGTATTTTATTAATTTAACCTCAGAAATATTGTACCAGAAATAAATTTTGAAAACGGAGATTGCCGTTGCCGAAATGCATACCCAAACAAATCTGATAAAAAAGATAGAAAAAATATTTTCGAGAAGTTTTGGGGTTGCGAAAATTTTACCAAACAAGATGTATTGCTTTACAAAGCTGTCGAACGCAAAATTGTGGAACGAAAAAGGCCAACAAACGGAAAAGGGTCACCAAGAAATTGGTGTTTTATATATTTCTTGCTATTTACAAATGGAGAAGTTCCCATCTGTAAAAAATATAAATAACTATATATATACCAATTGATTACTTCAAATCCCTTTTACACGCACAAAATGTAGATGAAGGTAAATTGTTTCGTAAGAAATTTATGTTTGTAATTTTGCACGTTATTGCAAATTAATTGAATCTCATAAATTATGTTCTTGAAGTGTTTTAAAAATATGAAAAACAAATTGGCAAAGACAGTTCCAACAATTTTGGAGATACGGAACAAAAAGTGCAGAAGAAAATGGCAATAAAGTTTTTAAAAGAACAAAGCATTTGTACTTTTTCATTTTTTTTAATTTCTAAAAAATATTGTTTTAAAATGTGGAAAATGATTCGAATTTCAATTTTAATTATAGCTAAAATTATAAAGCTCACTTATATAATTGAAATAAATAATTTTCACTTTGCAATTCAGTTTGTATAATTCTTAAAGATATGAAATAAGGTCCTTCGTTATAGTTCCCCTCGATTAAGTTTTGTTGATTTACTTTTCATGTAAATATATATACATTTCGTCGTTATAATATTATTGATAGTTACGGTATTTGTAATAATCTATTTAAACATATTTAAAATTTCTAGCAATTTGCCTTAAGGCACGATGCAATGTATCACGAGTTTTTTTTTTGCAATTTGAAGCATCCTAAATTATGTTGAATGGACTTGGCACCTTCAAATTTAATATTAATGCTAATTGTTAATTTTGAAAGTGACCTAACTCGATTCTTGATACGAAAACGCATATTATTTAATATTTGCCAATATTTTCATAGGAACTGTAAATTTAACACCCTTAGATACACGTAAAAAGTATGACTCAATAATAATGTTCTTTCGCAGGACCGGTCCTACCTTGAAAGCGATGCATGCAAAAATTGCGGGCGCACGCCTTAGGGGGCGCCAAAACAGGATTGGGATATGTGATTTATAATAAAGTTTTTTCAGTATCATTTAAGAAATATATAATTTCTTTTCATCTGTTACTAATCATGGAATTGTAGGTATACCCGTGTCTTTGTGGAGAATCCATGTTGGCGTGTAGTGAGGAGCGTTCAATATTTGCCGCAGGAATTTGTTTTGTCAAGAACATATATCAATATTTGCCTGTAATTATAAGAATAGAATTGACGCACATCCAAACCAACTAGCATGCAACTTATACCAAGAAGGCCAGCCGACCAGGCTCAAAAGGAAAATACCTCGAGATTTATTATAGTTTATTTATATATATATATATATATATATATATATATATATATATTCTCTATATTTGTTTTTAGTTTTTTCTTTTTTATATATTAACTATAGTAGATACACCACTGAGCGTATCTACTAATTTGTAAACAACCAATTGTAAACACTTGTCAGCATTCTCTGCTAAATATAATTATTTTTATAGATTGCAGAATGAAAATAAAATAAAAAAAAACTAATCATGGATAATATTTTTTAAATTTAACTTCAGAATTTAAGAATTTAAAAATAGTTCGGTAGTGCGACAACGATAAAAGGTACTACAATTTGATTTTGAGTACCCGTAAAATCTTCTAAATAAATTTAAAATCAATCTATTTTACGCGCATTTAGATTATACCTAATTTTTTGTGTTATAAATCCAGATTTATTAAAAATAATTTCAAAAAATTAACGTAAATGTTTATTAATAGGGGGGCGGAGGCCGCTAGAAAAAAATTGGCATGCGGGCGCCGAGTATCACAGGACCGGCCCTGTCTAAACGTTTTTTTATATTTATTAAAACGTTATCCTTTAATCATATCTATATTAATATTTTTAATTTCAGGGGTTGTTTCCAGCGAGCGGAGTGCCATGGCTGAGGCGCACCGCAGACGATCGCTGTCCATCAGCCGGGCGGCACAGAAGAACGACCTCGCCGTCACCGGACTCACAGTTCAGGACGATTACAGGCCGAGGTAAATCAAATCAAACTATTGTAAATCTGCAACTATTCTTTCTGTATCGATTAGCTTGCCTCACATACATATTAGATGAAGTAAAAAAAATCCAATATTTTTGCATGAAATGCAAGTTTTAATTACAAGAAATAGGATGATCCAATGTAAGTCAATTATGCGCCGTTTTGATCGATAACTTGTCATTTTGAAGGCAATAGCATTATGTTTTTCTCATAGAACCTTTGTCCATATTGGCAAAAACTTAAAAAAGTCGATTTTTACAAGTCTCTCCTAAAGTGAATTTTTCATCAGTAATACTGGTTACCTGGTGCCAAGACCGAACTAAAGAATAGATGCAAGAATAAACCTCTCAATCAAGCTCTTGGAGCTTCCAAGAAATCACTATTGATGTGTGTTGCCAGGTATGGACCTGATGTAACATAATTTCTTTCCTATTGGCCAAAACTAGCAGCTTCTGGGCGATTGCTTCTATAAGACAAATCAATTGACTGTACAAGTCCAAGTTAAGAGTTTTGCAATAGGAGATCAACTCACAGTATATAATTCCCTGCTAAAACCACCACATCCCAATGCTGGCTTGGCTACAATTTCTGCCTACTCATCGCAATTTTATCACAACAACTTTGAGTTGTCGCGTAAGATCCACTTTTCATCACCAGTCACCAATCGCTTCAAAAATGAGGAGATTTTCTTGCTATTCAGCAGTGATTCGCAGATGAAAATTCGGTCCTGTACGTTTTCATGTGGCACCCACAATTCGAGCTTTATTGAATCTAGTCTTATTCAAATGGTGCCAAACATTTTTTTTGTATAGTTTTTATCTCTTTGGCAATCGAAATCGACTTACATGGCGGTTGAACTCTTTGATTTTGTCGGCATTTTAGGTATTTAGCCATCCAGTGCTCGGTGCCATCAAAATCAAATCGTCTATTAAAATTGTGAAATCAAAATGTCAAACCAAAATTGGGTGTAATTAGCCGTTACAGTATTAGAACCATAAACACTATTCAGATTTTCAGCTGGTGTTTTTGCCATTATAGAACAAAAATTGTAAAATAGTACATTTTTTCTTTGTTAGTGTCCATATTTGAAACGCGTTCAAACAAAACTGAGTCAATCGATTAGAAAACTGTCAAAAGCCGCCTAGTAAAACTCAATCAACTATTGCAAAACTAGTGGATTTCTTTTTACTTCACCTAATATATACCTACACATACAAATATATGATATTCAACTCCATACAACTTAGTGCAGAGATACAATTTACTTTAAAATTGTGTATAAGAAATTTGTTTAAAACTGAAAAAATATCAGAAACTTTATTTCCCTAATAAATACAAATTATTATCTATATATAAAAATAAATTAAAAGCTGAGTTGAAATTAAATAGAAATTCAGGGACCTGCTTGCGAGCAAGCTGATACATATTATTTGTAAATATTAAGATCACTTCTCGTTATTAGCATTCGAATTCGTTTTGTTTTCTTGTCAAAAATAATGTATTCAGATACTACCAACCAACCTGCTGTATTGCAGTATTAAATAAAAATACCGACATGGAATATTTGCTTGTTCAAATATGACAAAACAATCATATTCTAAGTATAATGTACCACAAAAAGTCAGACGAAATTGTATTGTGTTTTGATGTAAAATAAAAATCTTCATTGATATTTTTTAATGAAGTTGTATCAAAGCATTTTCTAACCGGCAACAGCTTGTGAATTTTCCGCTCGTATCAGAAATCTCAATTTATTTTAGGCTTATATATATTCCCATTTATTTTGGTTCAGAATTTCATTACTCTATACAAATATTATCCGTCGAGATTTACAAACATTTTAATTTATTTCAAGCAGTGAATTTAATTTTAAATGAGATTTGAAATAATGTGCGCTCTGAAAGCGGTCTGCTCCGTAAATCTCTAATTGAGAAGAAGAACTATCGTATTGCTAAGTACACATGTGCGAACTGTACTCGTAAAGCTTTTGGTAGTTTCTCTCATTCGAACGATCTAGTCGAAATGGGAAATAAATAAGGAGTGGGATGGGGGAGTCGGGTCGGACAACACACCAATAACATGCAAATCAGTATGAAGCCGAGCGTAACACGACTGAACAAATTCAACATTGCTGCGAAACAATTGCAACAAAATGTACAAAACATAACCAATAGATAAACTGTCGAAATGTTTATCATTAAATATTTTATCCTCCAATTCAGGGCGGTTATCTGCTCATTTCGGTACGTACACAAATCACAAAGAGAAATGCATTCTAGACCAAAAAGAAATACTGCAGCCTGTAACGATTTTTTCATCTGTTTATTGATTATCGCGAACGGCCGACGTTGATATATTACTTTCAAAATAATGCTGGAGATAATGATTATTTGACTTTCCGTAGTGTAAGTTATAGTAATTTTTTATATATATTTTTGTTTTAGGACTTTCTGAACATTTTTGCATACCTTACAAAAAATAGATGTATGTGAGTATAAGTGTATGTGTATGTAGTAGGTATGTGTATTTGGATACAATTTTTTGTCCACGATTTCGGGAACACGGATAGGAATATATAAAAGGAAATCTTATATATTAGACGACGACGTTTATATATGTTTACAGAAAAGTGAATAAACAAAATTTAATCAATCGGATTAAAAATGAACAATTTGTTTAGTATTTATAAGAAATATATAAACTGAATTGCAAAGATAAAAATATGTATTTGAAGTATATAAGTGAGCTTTAGAACTTTAGCCAGAGCTAGAATTAAAATCCAAATTATTTTCATTTCAATTAAAAGAAATATTGTTTAGAATTTAAAAAAATTAAAATAAAAAATTCTTTCCCGAAAAGCAATCCTTTCGTCAACATAAGTAGCAAGTTTTTTGTATCATTCTCAAAAACTCGATTTCTATGTTCTGTACTCTTTGCTCCGTATCTCTAAAACGGCTGGACCTGCCGAAAATTAATCAGCACATCTCCCTATCAATAGGAATCGAATGTTTTTTGAACCACTCAAATCGGTTGATCCATGCGCCCGGAAAGGTGGACAAAAATTACGGACATACAAAACACACAAAATAAACACATCCATTTTGTCTAAGGTATGTCAAAATGTTTAGAAACCTTCAAAACGTAAAGGTATCAAAAATTTTCAATTTCGATTTTTGGACGATTATAATAACTTACCCTACGAGAAATTAATAAAGTCATCTTCCTATAAAATATGGTTGTAATTTCTTATTCATATTTTATACTCCGACCAGATATATCAATTTTGTAATAGGGTACAAAATAAAAACATTTATCACAGTTATTTATGATTGAAATGCTTTTCTTGCCTTCATTTCGGCTAGAGGTAGGTTACAAATTTAGAATATAAAAAAACATTTGTACCAGTAATCTCTAAATGCTTTTTTATGATTACATGCAAATTCTGTTCTATATTTTTTGCAACTGAAGTATCTCGTTTGAGAAGACCACAAAAATAAAAAAATTATTTGCAGAATTTTATTTTAATCTTGATATATAATTCTTGAAGTTACAATCTGAGTTGCGCAAAATATTGATTCTATAATATAATTTATTAAATATTTTTATTCAAAAATACAAATATTGAAATTCATCCATTTATTTAAAAAACACCCGTTTCAAAATTAAAAAAAATTACATCATCATATTAAATCATAAATCATACAATTCTATGAATGTTTAATTGCAATAATATCTGCTTTCCAGGATCTTATAATTCGTCAAAATCAAATTAATGTAGCGTGTTACTTGACGTTTTGATCTTCTCGTTAGATAGTATTACATAGAATTTAACAAAAGCAAAAAGATGAACAGGAGTTGTCGACATTTCAAGCTTTTACTCTTAATAAAACTACAATATGAATCAAATGTTTCGTGAATTCAGTTTCCTAGTTAACCGTTTCTCCTCTTTCTCTACAGAAGCCAATTCATTTAAAAGATATGTAACTTTATCTTGTTCTTCTAGAATTCTGAGTTGCATTTCTTGCAATCGACCTTTCCAATCACCAATCATTGCATATAAATGCTTTTCGATTTCAGTAAACACTTTGCAACCTTCGCAGGACTTGCAGTAGCTGCATTTCCGCATTTGCAATGCATTTGATTTACTGAGAGCATCGAAAATATCCTGCAACGTCGAAATCTTATGAATGCATTCTTTTGATGCTTTATCGATGTTTATTAAAATCATTTTACGATCATTGACTATATTTCTGATGCCTTCTGCTAGTTTTCTTATTTTGAGTATTCTTTTCATCCTGTAGTTTTTATTATTACATTCACAATTGCAAGTATCTGAATTTGCATCGCAGACGCATTGCGGTTCTGTATTGTTAATTTCTTTTGCCATTCTGATGAGTATGTTATTTATGCTTTTGTACCTCGAATCCATTTTGGACTGGAGTCGGCTCATGTCCTGCCATGAATTTTAATTGTGACAGATGTAATTATTTTCTAGAAATTTGCTCATAAATTTGTAAAAAAATGCATGATAAACTTTGAACTGTGATTTGTCGAATGCACTCGGAAATTTTATAACTGTTTGTGAAGTTTAAGATACCATATATGTATTAAGCCTAAAAATGTTGGTGAGTTTGACAATTTGAAAACAATGAACGAATATTGCGAATTGGAGAACTAGATTTGGTTACATTGTCATTTAATATGAAGTTGATAGATCTACTTGATTTTATTCCAGCGCTTTCTGGAATAAAATATGCAACGATAAATATGATATAATGAATAATATAACCAGTAGTGCATGACATCGTGCCGGTATATCGGTGGTACTTCTAGTACCGAAAATTAAAATTTTTTGAAAACTGAAAAAAATGAGATCTGACTTTTTTAAAAAAATTTAATTATTTTTAAATTTAGACATTTTTTACGCATTACATTTTTCTGAAAATTTTGAACTTTTCTTTTCTTAAATCGAAGCGCGTAAGCGTCGCATCGCAAACTAGTTTATGAAAATTGGTACTGAACCCATAGAAATGTAAACAAAATTCATACTTATTATTAAAATCTCTAAAATATCTGATATGATATGCATATGTCTAAAGATCATTTTTGACCGCTAAATGCAAAATTTTATTGAACATGAAACAGTTATTATTAAAAGAAATAAAACATAAAGACTTAATTTTTAGTCTTTAAAAGCTGATTCATTGCAATAATGAAAACTTATTTGAACGAACGTACCCTGGCACAACCGTACCACCCATTCTCCCCTACATATAATGTTGTGCGGTTTGTAGATTTTGCAATTAAGTATGTTATATGAACTTATCTTAACTAGTTGAATGTGGCATTTTGCCTTAGGGCAAGTAGGATGAACTTAATCAACCGAAATTGATATTCGCATAAAATTTTCAACAGCTCGATTACATATACCATGTACGTAAAAATTAATATTATTTAATGATTTAAATTATTGGTAACATTTTTTACACAACCAGAGAAGTTTTGTAGACTGCTCAGTTACTTGTTTGCCAATTCCAAAACTATAATAATTTCTAATTCTAATGGCTAATGGCTGGAATTTATTATAATGGCATTAAATTGGTAAAATTCAAATTTTGATTTATTACACCACGAAAGCAAATTTTGACTATAATATTTTTCAAACGTTTAAAAATAAACGACTTGTAGGGCCGTAATATTTTAGTATGTTCTTTAGGACCGTGATATCTATCAACATAAAATGTTTCATCGTAAAAAAATTGTTTAACAGTTAATTACTAAGAAACGGCTTGACCGATCTTTGTCCAAAACTAATCAGCACGATTCCCAAATATCATCTTTCGAACAGTTTTTGAACTTTTAAAATCGATTCAGAATTTTTGGCTAAAATGTGGACAAAATATATTCACATTTCTGCAAATTACAAAGAAACGGCTCGGCCAGTTTGCAAATCGATTCAGCAGATCTTGAAAAAAAAATAATTATGAATGGAATATTTTTAATGAACGTCAATAACGTCTGGTCATTTTCTAAAGCGTTGATATGTTTTTAAAATTAAACGACTTGCCATAGAACTATAATATTTTGGTGTGTTCTTGAAGACCATAATATCTATCGCTAAAAATATTCGAAAAATGTTTTATCAATAGCTAATTACAAGAAAATGGCCCGGCCGATTTTTACCAAAAACTAATCAGTATCTTTCCCAACCACAATCTTTCAAACAGTTGCTGAATTTTTAAAATCGATTCAAGATTACGGGCTAAAACGTAAAATTTTACTTTTTGCTATTAACGAAGAACGGCTTGGCTGATCGTCGCGCAAAACAGACAAACGCTAGGCGTTTTCGATATACATCGAATGGCTTTCAGATATTTGAAATTGGTCTAACCGTTTTTGAGACAACGCCGACGAAGGTGTAAAATCGGCTCTCACACGCACACGTAATTTTTCAAAATTTGGTCTCATTCGATTCAGAAGCGTCGAGAAAACATGATATTAGCAAATCAAATTTTTTGGCGAAAACAAACTTTTCCTTCGGGAGTATAATAATTCAAGATAGCGTATTTTTATATTAACCCTATTTGCAATCAATGACATTGTTTATAAAATGTGATAAATCACAAAAGGCGTGTACATATAATAAATTTCTTTGCTATGTCATTAAATATACGGTCTAACAATATCATTTGTTTATTATAAAAACCGAATCCGAGTTTTCACTTGTCCATCCAGTTTAATGTATCGGCTTTTCTAAGTGATTTTATCCCGAAAAAGGTGCTAGTAATGCCTCAGCGAGCACGTCGTACCTATATAGCGTTCGCCGTGTTGGCTTTTTCGATTAGTATGGACGCACTTTTAAAGTGAAAAGATCGTATTCCGACCACGTGCGTCCATACAGATTAACTAGACGCAGAACTCTCTCGATTTATGCATCGTGGATTTAAATCTGTTTGATGATTTTATAATGGATTTGCGTCGGGAGAGAATAGCTTGTACTAATATATGATAATGCATAATGCACGTAACTGCTTTGGTATATATATATATATATATATATATATATATATATATACATATTATAGTTATATAATAGTTATATTTATATTTATATAAATGTATAAAAAATAGAGCCTATGAAAGTTTAATATATTAATATATGCTGTTAAGGCAATGCATTATGGCTTAAAGCAGATTGACTGAAACTGGAACCTCCCGTACCGCAAATTAAGGTTTTTTGAAAACTTGACCTTTTTTTCAAATCACGCTCCGTAGCCGTATTTTTAAATCTCTACAAAATACCTGATAATTTGATGTCCATATGTCTAATGATCTTTTTTGACCGTCAAATGATTTTTTTTTAATTTTTTATTGAACCTCCGAAACCGCTGTACCTGGCCTTCCAAATTTAATCAGTTCTTCATTTCGTCAATACAAATAAAACGATTTTTGAATCATTCAAATCGGACGCTTCTTTCTTTCAAAAACTGAATTGCCATTTTTGGCACTTTTGGCTCCGTATCTTTGAAACGGCCTGGACTTTCCTTTTCCAAGAACTAATCAGCACGTCTTCTCATCAATGCGAATCGAATGTTTTTGAATTATTCAAATCCGTTGATCCGTGTTTCTGAAATCGTTGACAAAATTTGTATTCGCACACATATTTCTATTGGTTAAAGTTTGAAAGTTAGGACAAGCAATTTTTCGGTTTGCTTTTATAAACCGTAGAGTAATGAAATTTGATTTATACTAATTGCTTAAACGCTGTGAATGATTGTATCAGTTTTAGAACAACGAACTACTCAATTGGAGTCATTTCTCAATTAGCGGAACTCATTTATTATACTATATATTTTACTATTGATTTCAGGCACCATCCAAAACTGTATTTTTTTGTTTGGTTTATTTGGCATATTAACTTCTCGTAGGGTAAGTTATAGTAATCGCAAAAAATCGAAAATAAAAATGGTTGCGTATCTTCATGTTTTGAAGGATTCTGAACATTTTGCCATACCTTAGAAAAAATGGATGTATGTATGTGTGTGTGTATGTATGTATGTTTGGATACAATTTTTTGTATAAATTGCATATACATTTCGACGGAGACAACAACCAATATAACATTTGCCGACCGCGGTAGTTAGACCACATAACATTTTTTTCTTTGGAATAATCGAAAAAATAACTGAAGAGAATATCATTAGTACATTCTAAGAAATGTCATATACTGAGATAATGGTATTTTAACGTAATATAAAATAAAGACAGTATAAAAATAAAAGTATATCCTAAAATTGTCGACTTTATCAATTTAATACTTCTTAAGCTCGCTGTAGAACAAACCAATTCGCAAACACAAGAAGTAACTTTGTGAAAGTTTGATAAAGATTTACGTCTCCCTAGGCCCGGGCGAACAGGCAGCCTCGCGCGGCCGGCTGGAGCCGGCGACCAGGAGCGCGCTTTACTCGACCTGCTCGACGCCGAGCAATCGCTTCTCAGTCCTGTCGACCTCGGATCCCTCGGAGTCACGAGGAGACATTCTTCACACCATTGCCCGACCCGCAGCAGCAACAACGCCGCACAGACCGCGGCGAGCGCGGGCTCTGCTGAAGCCACGACCCAGCAATCGAGAAGCAGGGAGCGGTCACCAGAGCCGCAGCCCATGTTACAGGCACTAGTAAGTGCAACCTTATAGTTTTTTTCATGTATTTAAAGGGCGCAACTAGTGTGAAATTTCGAGAAAATCGATTTTTGTTTTTTTTCATATTTCAGTAGATTACATCTTTAAAAATAACATATTAAAATTTCAATACGATATCTCAAACAGTTTTTGAGTTACAGCCATTTAAAAAGTATATATATATATAGTATATAGTACAACGATCATTTTATCTTTAAACGCGTTTTTCTCGAAACAGCATTTTCCGAATTTGCTGCAGTGATTACTCAAAAACGAATGTTCTGATCATTATCAAATTTTTTTTACATGTTCTTTATATAGAAAAAAAAAATCTCCGTAAAATAAACTATCGATTTTTTGATCGGATCAAAAATCAAATTTTGGCAGTCAAAAAACGACCAAAAATTTGAATAAAATTCGCCTTTTTTTAAAACGCCGCCATTTTGTCAATTTTGGATTTATTTTTTTTATCGTAGTTTATTTTACAGACAATATTATCTAGTGTAACGAGAATTTTTTTTTTTATTTCATCCACGTAGAAGGCCGGAATCACGGCAGCAGTTAAGGGCCTTTTTTTTGTCGCGCCGTTGGAGATTGAAGATAACTTAAAAAATATTTAATTTTACCTTCAAAAATTTTACTATGTATTCTTAAAACATGTATAAATATACTTCTAAAATTTTGAAATGATTGATATAGTAGTTTTTTTAATATAAATTCCCAAAAATCACCTTTTTTTAGGCGGTTACACTAGTTGTGCCCCTTAATGCATATATATATATATATATATATATATATATATATATATATATATATTTTATATATATATATATATATATGTATATATATGTGTGTGTTAGAAAATACAATTCAAGCAGAAAGAATCTCTCCTGTGATTTTTATGAAACTTTGCATGGTGAAAAGATCTTTAGGCAAACCAAAAATAATTAAAGTTTCAAAAAATAGACCGCGCGCTATACGTATACGGGTAATAGTGTTCCTATCAATGTGCCCTTATAGCTGTTGGTATTTTGCATTTTTTATGCAAACTAACTTCAGTGTAGTGGCGGGAATAGCTCACTCAGTAGTGTTCTCGACCCACATGCTGGAGGAATTCAGTTCGAATCTTCAGCAATACCAGAATCAAAATATAAAATATTAAATTAGATTAAGAATTGTTAATTTGTAGAATACAAGAAAAAATTGTATTAGAAGTAAGAAGGAAAAAATGAAGTTTCGTTTAGAAGATGAGAAGAACATATTGAGAAACAAGAAGAAGAATGAAAATCAGTTGAAAGAATAATTGAATGGAAGATTAGGATATAAGAAGTATTAGATAGTATATATAATACTATATATGATATATGTATAAGAATTATATATGTAAGAATTGTATAGAATATGCCGAAAATAATATTAATAATGTAGGTGGCTAAAAATACTGTAAAAAAAAAAAACAAACAAAAAAAAACTTCAGTGTATCACTAACATAGCGCAGAGTTAAAGGTTATGATGAATTGCATTGTGCTTTCGAAAACATCTCGTCGGTTACTTTTCTTAAATGTACGTTTGTTGCAATTCTCCTGTTTTGTATGTATAATGTCATTTACGTATTAGAAATTAATTACAAACATTAACGGTAAACGGTAGTGCTAATACAGTACATATTTTTAACATTCCTAGGATTTATGAAAGAAGTTTGTTTTCGCCAGAAAATCCGATTACCTAATTTCATGACGCGTATTAAAACATCACTGAAGTGTTTGACACTTAAATTGAAAAAAGTAAACTTTTTATATATAAATAGGTATGTGCGTTTGATTTTTCGTCGAAGTTTTCTCAAACAGGGTTGCACTGATTTCAAAAATTTGAAAGCTTTCGATAAAGTCTTTAAGGACTTGCGTTGATGATCGGCCAAAACGTTTCTTTAGAATAGCAGAAAAGTGCAAAATATTTTGCGACGAAAGTATTTTACTACGTTTATGCAAAAAATTTTAAACTGATTTTGAACATTGAAAATCGCGGAAATGTTGAGAGTCCGTTTCATCATAATTAATTTAAAAAAAAAACATTTTGTTACGATTTTGACAAATTTTTGTATGATGATATAGTTTGTAATTTTAACAAACTATCGTAAAGTAGTGAAGGGCTCTGAAAATTGGTTTTATTATAAAAATGCAACATTGTTTTAAATAATGAATGCGGCAGTCATAGCGTTTTGAAAAAAATGCAAAAAATTCGTAACATGGGAATAATTTTCAAAGAGCTTAAATTGGTATAGATGTTGAATGAGCTATTACAAATGAATTTTGTAATCAATCTCAAAAAGTACAAAATGCTAGTTTTAGCCTTTTTCCACGGAAATTATAGGTACTATCAAAAAAATGTGTTAGATTTGTTTATTATAAAATTCTCTACAAAATTATATTCTCTATTCATCATATTTCTCTATAATCACCGTTGCTAAAATATTGCCGTGGCAAAATGCATATTCTTTATAATCTGCATTCTTTATACGTCATCAAACATGTAATATAAATAAAAAATAATAATCCATTGGTTTGAGTTTAGATAGTACAATCTCAATGAGTCTTTTGAAGTATCCAATTATAATGTCAGCCCCTAATTAATTTCCTCCTTGAGCAACACTTCTCAATTATGTCACTTCCTTAGTGTGGAGGATCACATACTTCATTGTTAATAAAAGGTGTAAACTAAATAATTAAGTTTATATAAATAATTATCCCCTGCTGAATCGAATGTTTGGGATTATTACCACCAATATTTCAGAATCATTGACGGCAAGTAAATTTTAAAAAAATCGACAATTGAAAATAGATAATTTGAAAATAATATGTAATATGAAAATAAATTTTGGAACAAAATGTCTTACACAGATTTAATAGTCTTTGGCGTGAATCATATTATGATACTAGAAACTAGCGCTGGCAGAGATTGTTTAAAGTCCTCCTTGAGCAGGTAATCCAATGGATTCTTATTTTTCATTTATATTATACGTGCGATGACGTATAAAAGCTGCATATTATAAAAAATACGAATTTTTCTATTTTTCAAATATCACAAACGGTGATTTTAACGCAAAAACATTATGAAAAAATTTTGAAATAAATAAAACTAACATATTTGATAGTTCTGATGATTTCTACGGGAAATGAGCAAAACAAAATTTTGTACTTTTAACATCAATTAAAAAAATCGGAGAGGTCGGATTAGTTCATATGTTTGACACTCTACCTATACCAATTTTAGCACCTCTATGCGAATTATTCCGAAGTTGAATGTCTACTTGGGCTATCAAGACTCAAAGTGCATGGTATCTATTGAAAATCGCATTAATTAGTTCTTAATAAAAAGCATACATTTTATTTCAAGAAAATTATTAATTTCATTGTAACAATTTTAGAAGTTGCTAAATATCAATTTTTAATTTCCCGTAGGGTAAGTTATAGTATTGGGCCGAAAATCGAAAATGAAAATTTTTACATGTGTGTGTGTATGTGTGGAGACAATTTTTCATCGACGATTTTCGGCGTATGTATGAACCAATTTGAAAAATTCAAAAAGCAATCGATTCATATTGATAGAGAGATGTGCTGATTAGTTTTTGGCAATGACAGGTCCAGCCGTTACGGTGACACGGAGCAAGAAGTGCAGAAAATAGAAACCGAGTTTTTGAGAGAACGGAGTGTCCGATTTGAATGATCCAAAAAAACATTCTGCTTGTGTTGGAAACACAATTGTTCTTGAAGAAAAAATTTTTTTGTATTTCGAAAATAATTAGGATTTTAATTTCAATCCTGGCTAAATTTCTGAAGCTCACTTATATGCTTTAAATAAATAATTTTAACTTTGTAATTCAGTTTATATAATTCTTATAAATATTAGAAAATGTTAGAGTATTTATAATAATCTATTTGAAAACATTTAATATTTGTCGATCATGTCGTTACGGTACGGGAAGTTCCAGCCTTAATACACGATGCCATACTCCACTAATTATTAATTAAGTCGATTATGTATGAATATAGAAAAGTTCATGCAACTTGCCTTAAGGCAAAATTTACACCTAGTTATTTTATTTTATTAATATCAGGGTATTTTTGTTTTAAATTACTGACAGATATTGATGAGATAGATAATAAAATATTTTATGCAAACTTATGTAAAGTAAAAAGAAAACTAGATACTAGAATTACCAACAACAAAATTAATTTCAAACTACAAGAATAATATATTAATAATATTTTTACTCTTTATTAAACATACGAGGATTATTTACACACCAAATATGTGACTGATACTATAACCGATACATATGAGAACATGACAAATAAAACCAATCGCGATAACAAAATTAATAAAATTAAATGAAAACATTTGAAATTTGTTTTTCTCATTCGCAATGCATTTGGCGGCGCTGTGACACGAGGCACCTGCACCGGTTTTATATTCGACCGATGAATATTCGGGCTCAGGTGTGCTATCCCGTAGTGAATTGAACCACAGCGAAACTGCATATTTACGCCGATAATCTATTACACCAATTTAAGTTATGGAACTCAAATACCTTAATACTATGCTAAACTGGAACGAGGCAATCGATATTTACCTGAACTCAAAGCTCGATAATCTCGCATTATCGGTTTACTAGGAACGCGCTAACCTGCGTCACGCTATCATTCTAGGCTAATAGTGTCATTCTTTTAGGGTTAAATAGAGAGTTCAGGTTAAAATCATTGAATAAAGCAATCCTTGGAATAAAAAATATTATGCATTTACTTAATAATGAATCTCGAAATTCTTATTATTGCAAAAACCACGCAAAATACTGTAATATTTAACCCTCCGTCGGTCGGATATTTATTTACCTTCAAACGGTCGGAGTGGTCTGTCTGGACCACCATTCATTTTACATGCATTTATATGGGATAAATTAGTTTTTGGTGTCTTATATATTAACGATTATAAGTAGTAAA